CTAGTGATAAAGAATTACATTTCCAAACCAAATGTGTAATACAGACAAATCCGTACATTTATTACCAAAAATTTATGAGAACAAATCAGACAACACCAAGGTGTTTTAAAATGTAATAATAAACAATTTGATCAGAGACAGCAAAAAGGAAGTGTATTATTGACAAATATCAGAGCATGGTGGAACACAAATCATGGCAGATGCGGATACCTGATGCATAATTGGAAAATGTAAAACTCTCCAGTGTGCGACTGTGGTCCTTCAGCACAGCATTGTCAACGTTCCTGATCCATATGTCACAACAGAGAATATTCACTGATTTAAACGCTTTCTTCTTCAGACCCATTGGTATGTTGTTTTGCATTGTTTAAAAGCTCTCGTTTGCCTCTTTTATTGCGTAACTTTGATCCCAGTCCACCTTCAATAACTGCCCCCTAGGTATACATACTTAACTGATTTAAAGATGTCTGTGGAACACAACTGTGCGATACAACTCCAGCTATGTATGTATGTTGAACTGTATCCAAAACGTTAATCTTTACAAACACACTTCTTTCAAACATGCGCTCTCGGATTGCCCACACTCAATTACTACTGAACTCCAGGCTAAAATAGCGTTTATCTGTGATCACATCGTACAACCTAGAACACAAATTACAATTGAATGCTATCATTTAATAACTTCCCTGAAACTTAGACCTCCCATTATATCCCGTGTATTTTTTCATGACATACATGCACCTCTGCTTACAAAGCACTTGTCTACGTCTGAAAATGACAAGGGCAATCCACCGAAGATGGAAGAAAAAATGTATTGAGTATTTAACAGACATTCTTTGCTCCTACGTTATAAGACTTTAGTTGCAGCGTAGATTATCTTACCTCCATTTTGTCCTTAGACAGGTAAACCTGCAATAACAGCCCAGCTACCCTACTTCTAAAAGATCTTCCCACCCTTTGTGTATGTACATTTGTCTGCAACACTAAAGTGTATATATATATCCATTGATTATTTTTAGTCGACCAGGGAAAGCCCACTGAGCTATTTGCTCTTTTTCAGAAGCGACTGGCCACAAATGATACATTATTACGTGCAAATGTATTGCAACCAAATAATCTAAATGCAAGTTTATAAATGTGGATGGAAAAATCAGAGAACCTGGAAAAAATCCACACGACCATTGGGAAAACATGCAAACTCCAAAAACATCTCGCCACCGCGGCACCATTGTTTCTAATACAACACTAGATGCGAAGAAACAAGTCTTTCAAAGAGGTATTTTTTTCAGTGGGTACAAATGCATTCATCCAAGGTCTCACATATCAATACCACTGCATGAGATTTCATGAAAAATGCAAAAAAATACAATAAAAGAGGTGACAGACAACAGAAATTTTCACCAAGGTTTATCTCAGCAACATTAGAACACATTTAACAGAAATGATATTGGATAGAAAGACAGCATGTCGTTTAACCATTTCACATTATCTGATGATTCATAAACACTCATTGAAACTTACAGGATATAATTTGGGAACTTAACAAATAAGGATACCAAGAATGACGCAAGATAAACATAAGCTAAATTACCAAAAAAGGCATATACAACATAAGCTGCTAAATAATATTGTGAGAGAACGCTTTTAAAACCTACAGAATATGCATAGTTAGGCAATTTCTGAAGGAAGATCAGGTTTAAACTGTTGATATAAACAGGACAACAAGAAATATGAACATTATAACGATGATAATGTTTTCATTAATTACACACTGCCAGTAACAATAGGTGGAAAATAAACATCCATGGTGCAAGCTCAGGGTCACTTTAACAAAAAGAGAAGCATGGCACTAGAAATGAAACATACAAATCAGGGCTGCCATATCAATCATTGAAAAAGTAGTCTCGGATTGACTATATATCTCATTCAAAGGGATGATGGCCAACGGACAAGGCTCGTAACCAAATGGAAAACCAAAGAAGAGAATTTTGCCAAGAGGATGACCACCTCAGATGTGGCATGATGAAATCAGCGACCGCACATGCAAAACGAATTGTTACATCGCAAGACCGCAAGGGATGATCACGGTGTGTGTAAGCCATCATCCAGAAGTATATAGACAATGATAGATGATGATGAGACCTATGCAATACCATGGCAATATCTTCCAATAACAAAGTATTCTCAAACTTAGCAATATCAGTTTTCAGTATTTTAAGGAGGTTTCTTTTGGATGATGCAGACTTTTGTCAAGAAAACTATTTTTAAAATAATTCCTTTTCTGGAATAGTTTAGCGATTCAATAAAAACAATTCACTTCTGCCAAAAAGATACAATATTTCAAAATACAAAATATTTTTTTACAAGTTCAGTACTGTTATATGAATGTAACAATATGCATTTTCACATCAATTTAGATTAAATACTTTTTTTTATTTAAAGCTTTCGTGACTCAGGGATTCATATTCTTGGTTCTTTCGGTAAAGTCACGTAGAAGGGAAACAATAAAATAATAAAAATATAAAACAATACAATTCTCACGACGTTTCGACTGCAACACAAGCAATCATCATCAGGTGTGAAAACCACAGCAAAATTTTTTGAAAAAAGTGGCGGTTTTTTTAACGTTAGTACCACGGAGAGCGATTTGACAGTTTGTTCAGATGGACGAGTCCATCTATGTTCGGAAAAGAGGAGGGGGGAGACGAAAATAATGGATGCGGTCTGAAAGGCACCGTAAGCGTGAACAATCAATTAAGACCCGAAATGGTTTATAAAATCCTTCCAATGATTGCTAAGCCAGAATCCATCTTCTCGGTTAAAATTGTCTCTGTGTTTGTATATGTGGATAGCCTCATGAACGAATCTCTCATGGTAGCCAGATGGCTTGCAATGAACCTCTGTCTTGGAGAAGTCAATGTCATGTGAGCCTACTGAATTATAACAGTGATCTGCCACGGCCGAGGTGTTGGTCCTACCGTGTTTCAGGTCTGCTTTGTGTTCACAAATGCGGTCCGAGACATGTCGTTTGGTTTCTCCAATGTAACTACTACCACAGAGGCAACTTAGTTTGTAGACGCCAGGGTACTGTATGTTCGGAATCACATCTTTTTTTATTATTTTATTGTTTCCCTTTTACGTGATTTTACCGAAAGAACCAAGAATATAAATACTTTTTGTTTCGTTGAATCTCTTAACTGATTGTGACTACATGTTAATCATTGTGAATACATGTCAATTCGTGTGAATGTATGTTAATTATTGAGAATACATGTAAATTTTTGTGAATACATGTACATTTTTGTGAATACATGTTAATTACTGGGAATACATGTAAATTATTGTGAATACATGTTAATTATTGTGAATACATGTTAATCTTTCATGTGCTCCTTAAAAATGTATATATGTTTTCAACAATTGTGATGATGCTCTTGGCTTTTTGTAATAGTTCCTCGTTAATGACATTATAATACGTATGGAAGTGTGCCTAAGTGCTTATTGTCATAATTTTCCATTTAGATTTTATAATTAAGGATAATAGTGAAATTAATTCTGCTTACATGTGCAAATGCGCATGGACCTTAAAATGTGCAAAATATTCTCCTTTAGTGAAATTTACAGAACACTGTCCTAGGAGGGTTGAGGCTAATTATCCTTTATGCATAGTCTTGTGTCAATATTATAATTCAGATGCATTTATGGTTATTTTCGATTGTTATTTCACAAATTGAATATATTTTTAGGAAGAGCTGTTGTATGCATGATAACCATATATCGTTCAATTAAATATTATTTTAATATCACTGCACCTTAGGCTACGTATATAGTATCTTTTTTCAGGGATGGTAATATATACTCTCAATTCAGAAAGGATCAGACAGTGATTTCCACATACTGTGTAAGTGTGAGCAAATTGGAGAGGGAGGAGGGCGTGGAGGATGCTGAAGCAACTGAGGAACGCCGATTTTATTGAAAAATGCACGTTTGGTGACTCTGGAGAGGAATTCTCTGTCAAAGCAATGGGTCGACACCGCCGACATCCTGGATTGGGAATCCAGGCAGTTAAACCGGATTCTCAAGTGCAGTTTATGACCTCAGGACTGGTTACCAAAAACTGCGCACGAACAAACATCATTAATATTCTTGGTTCTTTCGGTAAAGTCACGTAGAAGGGAAACAATAAAATAATTTAAATATGAAACAATAAAATTCTTACGACGTTTCGACTGCAGCACAAGCGATCATTATCAGGTGTGAAAACTTACAGCAAGAAAAATTGGTTTTCACACCTGATGATGATTGCTTGTGTTGCAGTCGAAACGTCGTGATAATTTTATTGTTTTATATTTTTATTATTTTATTGTTTACCTTCTACGTGACTTTACCGAAAGAACCAAGGATATGAATCCCTGCAGTCACGAAAGCTTTAAATCGAAACATCATTTATTTTGGTTTATGGATGAATTGAGTTTATTCCAGCTCCAAAAATAAAATAGAAAATCGGTTTCAATGGATTGCAGTGCACAAGGAGTGTGCGCCCATATTGTGATGAGAGGTCGATTGAAGTGACAGTATAAAGCAATTGTGATCTTATCATCTGGGGTTGTTAACAGACACATAGTGATGCACTGCTAGCTGCCAGTAACCTATATGAAAGAAGTATTCGTCTCATGACTGACATGACACTGATAGTACAGTTGTAATACAAATGGGGGGGGGGGGTTAATTTTGAGATATGTCCGTGAAAATGTCACTTATTCACATTTGTGATTAATAAAAACAGCTATACTGTGAATACCCTATTGCATAGTACTCTGCTAAATGCTACATATATTCAAAATACAGAAATATACCGTTCATATAAAAGTGTTTGTGTTGCACGTTATACATTATCATAAAATATGCCAACAAAAGCACCTTCGGTATGCCATTTCCATTCCAATTTACCCCGTTTGCGCTTGTCAACGATATGCGTTAAACATGGGGGAGGGGGGGGGGTGTAAATCGCTGGGGACGGGAGGAAGTGGGTGGGTGTATGGTTTAGTGTCGCAATATGTCGACCTGAAGGCATACAAAAACGTAGACTGAATGTCAGCAGGCGTCAGATGGTGGGCTTGCCAGCCACTATTCAGACGCCTCTTTATGCTGCTTGTAAGGGACCATTCACTCTGCACAAAACGTAAGTGCGTAATACATCCCACCGACAGGTCTCCAGCGTGCATGCATATTCGATGCAAACTGCTGTACCCGGGTGCGTGTTTTGCAACAACAAAAAACAAGTGCACGCGCATGTAGGAATGTGATCATTCATTGTTGCTTGTGAAGTTTGCACGTGTAAATTCATCACACCGTTCGCTGCGTCCGTGCGAAAGTTATGCATTCTGAGAACATCGTTAACGACCGTTTCCAGTGAAAGAACGAAGCAGACTCATTCGAACACAAAAGCTCAATGTTATTTTTTTAAATATATAGAGCAGCCAGTATTTTTGTTGCTGCACAAGCCGAATCAGCTTAGACAATGTATTCACGTGTTATTTAAATTTCACTTCCCAGGCTCTGCCCTTCAAGCAAAACACATCAATTTAGCTGGACCTCTGGGGAAGCCTCGATTAGACACTAGATTCTAAACGGGAACGAGCGTCGCTAATTTAATAAAGTAGCTGTCCCCGGTGCTGAACGGGCGCAGCGCGTTCGTCGCACGCGATGGAGCTCAGCACGTTCACCATGGACGAGTGGGGTAACAGGAACGTGTCGCTCCACGCGATGATGCTCGACCACGCGGCCACCACCGCCTCCTCGGCCACCACGAATGCGTCGACCCCCTTCAAGGGCGTGCAGCTCATCCGCACCTTGAAGCCGTTCGTTGTGCTCTTCTACACAGCGGTGGTGGTAGTGGGTGTCTTAGGAAACTTCCTGCTCGTCTACGTGATCTGCCGCGTCAAGAAGATGCACAACGTGACCAACCTGCTCATCGGAAACCTGGCTTTCTCCGATCTCCTCATGTGCGCCATGTGCGTGCCCCTCACTCTGGCGTATGTGTTCGACGCGCGCGGGTGGGTGTTCGGCAGCTTCATGTGCTACTTCGTGTTTCTCATGCAGCCCGTGTCCGTGTACGTGTCTGTATTCACGCTCACGGTCATCGCTGTGGACCGGTACATCGTCACCGTGTACCCGCTGCGCCGCCGCATCACCATCCCCACGTGCGGCTACCTGCTGGCCGCGATCTGGGTGACGGCGTGCGCGCTCGCCGCCCCGGCACTGGCTCACACCTACTACTGCGAGTTCCCGGAGCAGCGCATGACCATCTGCGAGGAGTTCTGGATTGGCACGGAGAGGGAGCGCCTCGCGTACGCTTACAGCACCCTGGTGCTCACCTATGGACTGCCGTTGCTCGTCATCTCGCTGTCCTATTTCAAAATCTCGGTGAAGCTGAAGAACCGCGTGGTGCCAGGCACGGTGACCCAGAACCAGGCGGAAATGGACCGCGCCCGCCGTCGCAAGACCTTCCGACTCCTGGTTCTCGTGGTCACTGCGTTCAGTGTCTGCTGGCTGCCGCTGCACATCTTCAACTTTCTGCGCGACGTGGACATCCGCCTGATCGACAAGTACTACTTCAACCTGGTGCAGCTGCTGTGCCACTGGTTCGCCATGAGCTCGGCCTGCTACAACCCGTTCATCTACGCGTGGCTGCACGACAGATTTCGAAGCGAGCTCAAGAAGATGTTCACGGTGAAACGGAGGGTGGCTCCCAGTAACAACACCGGCATGGCCAGTGTGGTGTTGTGAAGGAAGTGAGAGGGAGAGGGGGAGAAAGAGAGAATGCGCTGGAAGTTAAACAAATAAATACGCGACACCGAAACGACGAATTAAGTGTTATATATGTGGTGAAGTATTGTGAAATAACGGCTGTAAATTTTATGAAAATTGTAATTTTTACTTGGTAAAGAAGTCACCTAATCCATGTCTTAATCTCAGCACTAGCATATCAAATGACCCCAAGTCGTAGACTTTTGTGTAACAGTAACTCTCGCTTTTATTTTATCCCCGAGTTTAATTTTAACGAACTAACCAAAGTCCGAATCGCAAACATTCTTTTATTTGGCTCGATCGTTTGAGTTCCAGTACGCTCTCTAAAGGTTAAACGCATTCGCTATCGTACTGAGCATAGAGCAGTAAGGCAACTTAACCCCCCGGGTTTTCCAAACTCCAGTCGGCACGACCCACCACGCTCCGTCTCTCCGCGTTTTATCAATTTACTCATTCTCATTCAAATACGAATTACGTCCTTCCACGCTGCACGCACCCGATGATGACAAACACGTCCCACGTGCACACGCACACACGGAGCGAGCATACGTGTACTCACACGCACATGCTGACACATCAAGCTTAATTTGCATCGGCTCTATAATAACGCAGTGTTAATTACATATCGTGACTGTACATTGCAGTATTACCTTCACAACGTGTTGGCTATGTATTTAATCCACTGTTAATCTAAAATGTGTATTCTTGGTTCTTTCGGTAAAGTCACGTAGGAGGGAAATAATAAAATAATAAAATAATCAATAAAATAACATTCTCACGACGTTTCGGCCACAACGCAAAGGTGAAGAACAGAGCTGTTGGAAAGACAGCATCCTTATTAGGACAGCTCTGTTCTTCACCTGAGGACGGCTGCTTGCGTTGTGGCCGAAACGTCGTGAGAATTGTATTTTATTTTGTTAATTTTTTTATTATTTTGTTATTTCCCTTCTACGTGACTTTACCGAAAGAACCAAGAATATGAATCCCTGCAGTCACGAAAGCTTTAAATCGAAAACTAAAATGTGTACTTTTTTGTATAGACGTGTACCGTAAATTATAGCGCTTATACATTGTTGACATTACGTGTAACATTCGATTTTTTTGTGCCATTGATTAATGTACAACCCTCTCGGTCATGGACGTTGTTTGACCATGCGGCACTGTACCACGTTGGTCAGTGTAAGTTGGTGAAGCAAGCCTATAGAGCCGGCTCTGATATTACTCCTCACTGTTAGCCGTGGCCAGAAATCAAACTCAGGTGGTTGGGCCCCAAGTGATGTGCACCAACCACTTCACTATTGTAAAGTTTTATGGACATCAGCCTTAAATCTTTCTGCAGTGCGCGTTGGGAAACTGTATTCAATTAGAGTTGGGACGCTGAATGGACTCCAATTTTAATCAACAATAAAAAAAACTAGAGACCCTACATGCCCTGCCCAGCGTGGTGCAGATAATTATGTTAACGATGTCGCCAAGCACCGCCCAATTACCTCCCGTCCAGCGGCACACGAGGGAAGATAATTTATACATTGTTGTCCGACTGTGTTCGTAGTAGAGTAATTAAACCGACAATCAGTAGAGTGATCGATTACTCACATCCATACACAACATATGGTCAAATTCTATCCCAGCTATAAGGTCAAAGGTGGGACCCTCTCCCAAAACATGAAGTCAGTCACATGTGAGTTTCCTGAAAGGTCATCTCATGCCGTTTATAATAATAGCCTTATTAGACCTTCAATTAACAAGCTTCATACGAGAGTTTAAAAGACTGGGTTCAGCCTTTATTTCCCTCTACAACTTCTTCATCACAATAGGTATTTTTTGTTTTACGCTTGGCAGTGATAACATACATTTCGATTTAAAGCTTTCGTGTCTGCAGGGATTCATATTCTTGGTTCTTTCGGTAAAGTCACGTAGAAGGGAAATAATGAAATAATACAAATAAAACATAATAAAATTTAATTCTCACGACGTTTTTTATCATGTTTATATTTTTATTATTTTATTATTTCCCTTCTACGTGACTTTACCGAAAGAACCAAGAATATAGTGATAACATAGCTTAGCTTTGCTGGGTTGTTAAGAGCATTAAGCTTCGGTTATGATTTAAAATTCCTCACCGCTTGCTACATTGGTGTGTTTATGCTTAAGTAACATGCGACGATGTAATGTACATTTTCAAGTTCAGTCGTTGTGTTTGTTGTAGCTTCATTTAAGAGTAATATAATGAGGGATTAATTTCTCACTATTTTCAAGAACGCTGATAGTCTGACTTGGGGTATGGATTATTATCAGCACTCGAATGCAAGGTATTCCCACCAATAATATTCCTGGGTTATTGTACCTTTTATGCCTATACAGTAATCTGATGAACAAGATTGTACAAATCAGGACGTAATATTGTGAGATATTTATGGCGTGAAAATAAATAATGGTGCACCATTGCACACTTTTTCTGCTGAAATCAAGCCCTGATTATAATTCGTAATTTTGCACAATTACTGCAAATGCCTCCAAGCATTTTCTTGATATTACGTGCATTTAGTGTTTGGTGTGCTTATAATACAACCAGTTGAATGAGGTGATGTAAAATTATATGTTTTGCATATGATATTTTTCATTTGAAAGAACTTGTGCATCGCAACCAGTGTCATAACTACACAGCATTGTGCAACTGTATTGCATGGCATATTAAAATAAACACACCTTTACAGTATGTAAGTCTCAAATCTGTTATAATTTCATTTTAAAGAAAACACTGCTTAAATTTTGATTTAAAGCTTTCGTGACTGCAGGGATTCATATTCTTGGTTCTTTCAGTAAAGTCACGTAGAAGGGAAACAATAAAAATATAAAAATAAAAAACAATACAATTCGCACGACGTTTCGACTGCAACACAAGCAATCATCATCAGGTGTGAACCACAACAAGAAAATTTGAAAAAAAAGTGGCGGTTTTTTAACGTTAGCACCACGGATAACGATTTGACAGTTTGTTCAGATGGACGAGTCCATCTATGTTCGGCAAAGAGGAGGGGGGAGACGAAAAATAATGGATGCGGTCTGAAAGACACCTTAAGCGTGATCAATCAATTAAGACCCGAAATGCTTTATCAAATCCTTCCAATGATTGCTAAGCCAGAATCCATCTTCTCGGTTGAAATTGTCTCTGTGTTTGTATATGTGGATAGCCTCATGAACGAATCTCTCATGGTAGCCAGATGGTTCATCAAGGACTAAACACTGAGGTACCCCCCCTGGTAAGACACTGCTTAACCAATACATACGTCACTTGGAATGGAACTTTCTACAAACTGAGGGCACCCCAATGGGCTCCCCCCTATCTCCGGTTGTAGCCAACATTTTCATGGAGAAATTTGAGACTGACGCCATCCAGACTACCACTCTGCGCCCAACCTTATGGAAGAGTGTACGTGGATGACACTTTTGTCATCTGGCCACATGGCTGGCCTGCTCTAGACCAATTCTTCGACCACATCAATTACATACACCCAGCCATCAGATTTACCATGGAAGTCGAAAAAGATGGCAAGCTCCCCTTTTTTGGATGTCCTAATAAAAAAGAGACCTGATGGTTCAATGAGCCACTCTGTCTACAGGAAAGCTACCCATACGGATGCTTACCTAAAACCGGATTCCCACCACCATCCATCCCAGAAGAATTCCCTCATCAAGACTCTGCACCATAGAGCCCAATGCATATCCGACCAGGAACACATAGCCAGTGAACTCAAGCACGTACACCAAGCTCTTAAGGCTAATGGTTACTCCGACTATACAATCCGCAAAGCTATCACTCCAACCATGAAGAAGGACCCTCTTGAGGAGCCTTTCAAAACCATCACTTTACCCTACATTGCGGGGATCACAAAAAGATCTCCAAAATCTTGAATAAACACAAGATCCAGGTCCGATTCAACACATTACATAAAATCCGTGATCTGGTTCCGTCTGTAAAAGATGTGATTCCGGACATACAGTACCCTGGCGTCTACAAACTAAGTTGCCTCTGTGGTAGTAGTTATATTGGAGAAACCAAACGACATGTCTCGGACTGCATTCGTGAACCCAAAGCAGACCTGAAACACGGTAGGACCAACACCTCAGCCGTGGCAGATCACTGTTATAATTCAGTAGGTTCACATGACATTGACTTCTCTTTGCAAGCCATCTGGCTACCATGAGAGATTCGTTCATGAGGCTATCCACATATACAAACACAGAGACAATTTCAACCGAGATGGATTCTGGCTTAGAAATCATTGGAAGGATTTGATGAACCATTTCGGGTCTTAATTGATTGATCACGCTTAAGGTGTCTTTCAGACCGCATCCATTATTTTTCGTCTCTCCCCTCCTCTTTTCCGAACATAGATGGACTCGACCATCTGAACAAACTGTCAAATCGTTATCTGTGGTGCTAACGTTAAAAAACCGCCACTTTTTTTTCAAATTTTCTTGTTGTGGTTTTCACACCTGATTATGATTGCTTGTGTTGCAGTCGAAACGTCGTGAGAATTTTATTGTTTTATATTTTTATTATTTTATTGTTTCCCTTCTACGTGACTTTGCCGAAAGAACCAATAATATAAAACACTGCTTGTTGAAATCTATCTGTATTGTACTTGACCCATAAATCAAAAACATTAATTTACAATCTTGATTTGAAGCTTTCGTGACTGCAGGAATCCACACTCTTTGGTTCTTTCGGTAAAGTCACGTAGGTATAAAATAAAATAAATCACGAAGTTTCGGGCGCAACACAAGCGTCCATCATCAGGTGGGAAAGCTTTCCCGTTATTTATTTTATTTTATACCAACGTGACTTTACCGAAAGAACCAAAGAGTATATTAATTTGCACTTCAAATGAAATATGTTGAATTCACTACAGCGAAACAGTTATTAGTAATACAATACAAGCTTTTACTAACGTTTCAGATTGATCATAACCTTTGTTCTCCCATCCTTTCATAGTAAGGCAGTACACAGTAATGCATCCACATGTCCCACGTGCTTTTTGAGTCACGTCAGAGGTTGTTGAAGAGAAAGGTGCTCAGCCTGTGTCGTTTAATGTTTTTGCTATTAAAAACCTCTGCACAATCAGGACACTGTGTGCTAGTAGTGCTTTCAAATAGTGCCATATGTTTAGCATTTTTTATAGCCATGCTTCTTGAAAGAAATGACCATGAAATAAGCCTCCGTGTAGATTGTAATGCAGCCACACACTGGGCTGATACGCAGCTATAAGTATTTCATTGAGTATCATTTAAATACAACTTTTATTGTAATAAAGCAAATTTCATGATGACAACCGGATGCATATAAATTTAAAAAAACTTAAACACTTGTTGTATTGACAACTATTTTGGTCACTTTTATTGTTCATTATTTGGAACATGGCACATTTTTTTTGTGTTTTTCTGCTCTTGGCAACAACCGTTTTTATACACAGGAATATACAGTAACAAACATCCCTTACCATCTTTTAAACGTAGTTTTTGGTGGAACTTTTCAGGAGCAATTCACACTGCATTTGTCTTACGAAAAGAATGCATTGCATGAGCAACATCATTTCAGTTGCAAGTCGTGTCATTACAGTATTTACAACGCTGTTGAAATACAACTCCATGAGAATACTAAATTGTTAATGTGAAAAAAATTTTATTGGTCTAATGCACAAAGCATTTCATGATGAATATTGCATTATCGTTCATATATTTGATTGTTTGTTGATAGAAAAAACTATATTTTCCTTGTCATGGGTACAATAGAAGCGTGTCCCCAGTTTTGATTTAAACAGTTCCACAATACTGCAACAGCTCGACTAAAGATCACTGTTGACCTCTACAAGATTATGGATGACCTCTACAAGATCATGCATGACCGGCACGCTGCAGCATTGGTTGGCCTCGATCTCTCAGCCTCCTTCGGCACCATCGACCATGAGATTCTCATCGGTGTATCGGGTATGGCACTCGTGTGAATTGAGTCATACCTACACCGTCGGTCGCAGTTCGTGAAGCTCGGTGAAGCCGTGAACAAGTTGGCATACCACAGGGGTCAGTCCTCGGGCCCTTAATATTTTCGACAGTCTATCTATTCGCCGATGTCATCTCATCGCAAGCTATCAAGTTCCATAGATGTGCCAATGAAACACAAATTGTGCACCGCGGGAAGTAGAATTTAGATATGGAGAACCTCGGTAATGTCGAACATTGCACGCGAGTGGTGCTCGTCTAGTTTGCACCAAACGAAATGCCGCTTAGTTCAGGATAATAAGAAGTTCTGCTGGTTGGCACTCGGGCTCAGTCAAAAAAACATTTGTGTGGGGGGGGGGGGGGATCAGGTGTGACGGTCGTAGACTCCAGGTTTCAGTTTTCGACTCGACGAACGAGCCTCGATACCATACTACACCAGAATGTTGTTTGATCACCACATTCGGCCACTATTGAATCACGACGTAGCCAACACGGTGGCATGTGGCATTGTATTGACAAGGCTTGATTATTGCAACTCACTACTCTACGGGACGTCTGGCAAAAACATTAGCAAGTTGCAGTGTTTACAACATTCTTTGGCATATGTTGTGACGGTAACTGCAAGATCCGACCATGTCCGTCCGGTGCTCGCTGAGCTGCATTGGCTTCCAATTGCTGAACGAATACGTTATAAGGTCGCACTCTTCACACACAAAGTGCTTGCCACAAATGAACCACAATACCTCGCTGATCACATTAAGGAGCATAAACCATCATGCAAACTCATTCTTGCAGTGGCTTTTGGATAACTAGCTATCGAACAAAGACGGTTACTGCATCGCGCGCTTTTAGATGCGCTTCTGCGGCCATCTGAAATGCTCTTCCTTCCGATATTAGGAAGCCACTGGGGATATGCACTTTTAAATCTC